GTAAGTGTTCCTACCACTTTATGTTTCTGGCAGATCCTCCTGTGAGCTGATCTTGACTATGATTCTCTGCATTCATATGTCTCTCCAGACTTGAGTCCTGCTTTTGCCCTACAGCCTCAATCATCTGATGGATATACGAATAGTCGTTGATTTTCAGTGTGTTCAGCTTTTTTCTTATTATAAGGACAGGAGTGACCATCTCTAAGCTCTTTATTTGTCAGAACTGAAAACTGAAATCTCTCTCTAAATTCATTTGCGGCAACATGTATGGTGTATTGGTTTGAAGGGTTGCCAAATTATTGAGTTTTTTAGTGTTCCCATATGTCAACCAACCCTGGATAGGGATACCAGCAATTTAAACCGGCATCTCAGGTTCAATGCAGCCACTGAAATGAAAACAGTTCTCAGCAAGGCTATGAGAGGAAGGAGAAAGATCCAAAATAATAAATTTTGGAAACAGATTTGTGTTAATGGACCAAAATAGCACCATTGAAAGCAATGTATAACAGTAATCTAAGTGTTTGGAAGAAGAGATGTAGAGCACAGTGTCTACTATGAAGGCTGCGAATAAGCAGAACAAGTAAGAGGCTGATTCTGTTCAGGATTTTTTATCCCAGATTTTGAACAAGGCCCTTTAGCTCTCATGATCAAAAGTCTCATTCAAAGCAGAACTACTAACAGTCCAAAACAGTCCAAATCAGTAGGCTTTTGGACATACATTGTTTTAGAAAAATGAATGGGAGGTTGATTTTTTTTTTTAATGATTCAGCGATTTCTCTAGGAAATCTGGGTGCTCTGGAGACCCTGGGCTGATGTTGCCCACCGCGCGCCCTCTGCAGGAGCAGAGCGGAATAACCCCCTCCAGTTTGCCACAGCTGTCTCTCGTCTCACCTGTGTCTATAGCTGAGCATTCCAGCCACGCGAGTCTGTCTTCAAAAGCAGTTTATTAGAAGTTGGGAAGGGGGGACCCTAGTAGGTCTTTTATAGAACCTGGAAGTCAGACAGAAATTCAGGATGTTTGTTACATTTCAACCCCATATTGATTCAATTCACTTTTTCCATGGATGGTTTGTGGTAAACAACATTAACTACTCAACAAAGAGGTACCCATGGTTATTTCCATCATCTTTTGGATCTTGTAATTTGGGGTTGTTAAGAACAACTGCCTTTCCCCAGTTACCTCCATATCTTCCTCTTGTTCCATGTCAGTTCACTCTATGTTGCAAGAAGTCTTAATAGCTTCTATTAAGTCCATTTTGTAGAATTCTTATTCTGATTAAAAAAGTGCGGTCATTACTAACACTATGTGGTTCATTTTGAAAATACTTAAAAAGAAAACATTGAGTTAGAGATTTTTAACTTAAAGGTTACATAACCTTGACGATTTTCCTACCCTCCAAAGCGCATACCCACTATACACTTTTTCCCCAAGGATAACATCTAGTTAAAATTTCACTCTTTTTTTCATCTGCATCCTGTGTGGTTGCACAGGAAACATACACACACACACACATGCAAACAAGAAAATATACCTATTTACATGTAAATTACACACAAAATCTATACATATATACACACACAAAGCTAAATATATTTGCAGATACACACATACACACACTTATATATATATATAAATCTATTTACTGCA